GCCATTATTTGAACATGTATAGATAGAAATGTTGGGCACTACTCTATAATTTTATTTCCTGGACATTTTCCTGTCGTCCTAGAGGATTAATGTTTCTCTCAGTTTATATGTTTTAAATTTCTCTGATTCACCACCTTAGATGGTGAAGAGTTGGAGTCCACACTTGTGTATTTTGGTTCCATGCTGATGTTCTTTGTGATGATTTGTGCTGTGTGTTATCAGCAAAATTTTACTTTAATTCACTTATTGTGCAACCTGGCTCACCCCTCATTGCTAAATGGTTTCAACATGCAATTTTTCAATAAATAAGAATGGATGTAACTGATATTTCCTGATTGAAAGATTAGGTTTTGATAATGGAAAAAGGCAGGATTTTGATTGTTGAATTTTTAATCTTTGCTTTAGTTGCCTTGTGATTTTCCTTTTGTTCCCTTATCAGTAGATGCTAGTCGCTTTGTTAGGTTGTGAGTTCGTTCACTCCAGAGACAGAGAACACAGGCTACTGGCTGATACTGCAGTGGAGATCTAAGGGAAAGCCCAGTGTCCCCAGGTGGCCACAAGTTTCCTCAGCCCTATTTTGTCGGGGTGAAGACAAGTTCCTTGGGTCCTAGTTGATATTAATTCTTCAAATGACACTACTTTAGCCTCAACAATATCACATTGCTGTCTGTAGGATCTTATTGTGTGTAAAATGCTGCATTTCCTACATTACAACAATGATTACATCCCAAAACCATTTCTTTGGCACTTTTGAATACCCTAAGCTTCTGAAATATGCTGTAGAAATCTAAGTAGAGTCATAGAGTCATACAGCATGGAAACAGACCCTTTGGTTCAAGCAGTCCATGCCAACCATAATCCCAAAGTAAACTATTCCCACCCGTTTATGCTTGGCTCGCATCCCTCCAAACATTTCTTATTCATGTACTTGTCCAAATGTCTTTTAAATGTTGTAACTGTACCTGCATCCACCACATTCTCTGGCAGTTCATTCCACACATGGATCACTTGCTGTTTTTAAAAACAAATTGCCCCTCATGTCTTTTTAAAATTTCTCTCCTCTCACCTTTAAATAAGCCCTCTCGTCTTGAAATCCCCTACCCTAGGGAAAAGACACTTGCCATTCACCTTATCTGTACCTCTTATGATTTTATAAACATCTATAATGTTACCCCTCTGCCTGTTACAAGTAGTCCTTAATGTTATTCTTTCCTGGGTATTTTGGATCTACCTAAATATTACATTGTTTGATAGCAATATGATAAGGCTAGCCTAAATTTAATTTTAAATATAAAAAAAAAATTCTCTCCATGTTTTTTGCCAACAACATACATGAATTCGGAGTTTGAATTGTGACCAGTCACCAAGATATGACATTAAAAAAAAAAAATGCACTTGGCTGTACCAACTGTGCAGGATTGTTGTACTGGACATGACATGAAAGCTATGGTCTTAATTTCATAAATCATCAGCTTCAGCTCTGACTGTTGTGGGAGCTGACTTAATGTAGGTTAGGCAGCAAAGGAAAGAGAAAATGAGGGGAGAAGACCCGTTCTTGTGGTTATTTTGTTGCTGTGACAATATCACAATGTGCTACTAATGAAAGTAACAGTCTCCAATATCTCTGACTTCAAAGAAAAACTTACTTTCAGCTTCAAACATATTTCTAATTACTGGAAGTTTACTGTTTGCTTTGAAGTGAATGGGCTGAATGTCCTTGTTAAGTTTCTTGCTACTTTGTATTGTCGAGGTTCCTTACTTATTGGGCAAGTAACTTAATTTATAATGACTTTCTGGTTGGTTTCATTTCTTAAGTTCTGCACATAATGTGCTGACCTTCCAATTTGACCAATTCAAGAACCATTAACTTTCATATTAAGGATAAAAGGACTGATGACATTCTGTAAAACTGTACAGTGAAAATTTTATTTCAGCAGCATGTGGCTAAAAATGAATTTTTACTTAGTGATTCAAGTCTGGTTTTATAGACTCAACTTTGATAGACTCGAGGAAGATAGATGGGTGACTGCAAGATGGGACTGACAGTCCGTGCAGGCAACCTTTGCAGATGTTTCCCTGTCGACAAGTATTCTGTTTTGGTTATTGATGAGGGGATTGGCCCATCAGGGAACAGCAGCAGCAGCCAGAGCAGTGGCACTATGGCTGGACCTGCTGTACAGAGGGGAGGGACAAAGCATAGTAGAGCAATAGAAATTGGAGATTCGATAGTCAGGAGCGCAGACAGGTGCCTCTGTGGCAGCAACAGGCACACCAGGATTGTATGTTGCTTCCCCAGTGCCAGGATCATGGATGTCTCTGAGCGGGTACAGGGCATCCTGAAACTGGAGGGTGAACAGACAAGTCATCATCCATATTGGCACAAATGACAGGTGGGAAGAATGACAGGGTTCTATAACGGCAATTCGGGATGTCATTCCAGGAAAGTGGGACCTGTAGAGGAAAAATGTATTGTACCTAAACTGGAAGGGCACCAATATCCTGGCAGAGAGGTTTGATCAAGCCATGTCGGAGAGTTTAAACTAGTGTGGGAGGGGGGGTGGGAATCGTAGCAGCAGGTCAGTAAGAATAGAGACTGGAGAAGAGCTTCAGACCAAGGCAAAAATAGCGACGAGGAAGAGCACGCAGGTAAAGGTTGCTGATTTCAACAGAACTAGAGGCTTGGACTGTGTTTGCTTCAATGCAAGAAGTATAACGGGTAAGACGGATGAATTTAGATCCTGGATTAATACATGGAATTATGATATTGCTATTACAGGCACATAGCTGAAAGAGGGACAGGTTCGGCAGGTCAACTTTCCGGGATATCGATGTTTTAGACAAGATGTATGAGGAAGCAAAAGAGGTGGAGGAGTTGCATTACTGGCTAGGAAGCATATCACAGCTGTGTTGAGGGAGGACACCCTGGAGGGATCTTGCAGTGAGGCATTATGGGTAGAGCTCAGGAATAGGAAGGGTGCAATCACAATGCTGGGATTGTATTACAGACCTACCCGTGGGAGTTAGAGGAAGAGATATGTAGTCAGATTCTAGAAAAATATGAAAATAACACGGTGGTGGTAGTGGGTGATTTTAACTTCCCCCATATTGTCTGGGGTTCCATTAATGCTGGGGATTTGGATGGAGAACAATTTGTTAGGTGTGCCCAGGAGAGTATTTTGAAACATTATATGGATAGTCCAATGAAGGAAGGGTTCATACTGGACCTGGTATTGGGAAATGAGCCCAGCCAGATGATCAAAGTTTCAGTGGGGGAGCATTTTGGGAATAGTGACCATATTTCCATACATTTACAGATACTTATGGATAAGGACAAGAGTGGACCTCAGATGAAAGTGTTAAATTGGGGTAAGAAAACTATAACTGAATTAGACAAGAATTAGAGAATGTGGATTGGGAGAGGCTGTTTGGGAGTAAAGCAACATCTGACTTGCGAATCTTTTTCAAAGACCAGTTGATTTGATGCAGGACAGGCATGTTCCTGTGAAAATGAAGGACAGGAATGACAGAATTCTGGAACCTTGGATGACAGGGGAAATTATCAGCTTAGTACAAAAAAAGGGTACTTAAGGTCTAGGCCATTAAATACAGATGAATTCCTTTTAAGAATGTAGACAAAGTAGGAAAGGGAGTTAGGAGAGCTAAATCAAACGAAATTATGAAATATCCTCAGCCAGCAGGGTTATGGAGAATCCCAAGAGATTTTATATGTACGTTACAAGCAAGAGGGTAGCTCGGGAAAGAGGAGACCCACTCAAGGATAAAGGAGTATGGTTATGTGTGGAGCGAGAGGAAATGGGTGAGGTCCTTAATGAGCACTTTACACTGGTATTCACCAAAGGGAGGGATGTTGAGGTTAAGGAAATGAGTGAATACGCTTGGGCAGGTCAACATAATGAAGAAGGAAATGTTGGATATCTTGAAATACATTAAACGTAGACAAGTCCCCGGGGCCAATTGGGATCTATCTCCGGATACTGTGGGAGGCAAAGGAGGAAATAGCTGGGGCCTTAATAGATATCTTTGCATCCTCTTTAGCCTCAGGCAAGGTTCTAGAGGACTGGAAAATAGCCAGTGTTATTCCTCTGATAAGAAGGGAAATAGAGGTAATTACAGGCTGGTGAGCCTGATGTTAATGGTGGGGAAGCTGTTGTCAAAGGATACAGCGGGATATAGATTGCAGACTTGGCAGAGAAATAGCAGATGGAGTTTAATCAGGACAAGTGGAAGGTGATGCATTTTGGAAGATCACATTCAGGTGTGGTGTTGAGACAGGATTTATTCACATTTGGAAGTGAATGGACTTATTAGTGAAAGGCAGCAGGGGTTTGTGCTGGGAAGGTCATGTCTCACCGCCTCGATTGAGTTTTCTTGAAGAGGTGACAAAAATGATTCATGAAGGAAGGGCAGCAGATATTGTCCACGTGGACTTTAAGGCATTTGATAAGGTAACCTGTGGCAGGCTGATACAGAAGGTAGTCTCATGGGATCTAGAGTGAGCTGGCTAGATAATACAAAACTGGCTTGGTCGTAGAAGACAGATTAGATGTGGAAGGATGCCTTTCAGAACGGAGATCAGTAACTAGTGATGTTCTGCAGGGATCAGTGCTGGGACCTTTGTTTGTAATATATATGAATGATTTGGAAGAAAATATAGGTGGTCTGATGAGTAAGTTTGCGGACATAGAACAGTACAGCACAGTACAGGCCCTTGGGCCCATGATGTTGTGCCGAACTTTTACCCTAAACCTAAGGTCTATCTAACCTCCACCCCTACCTTATACTATCATCCATATGCCTATCTAATACCCCATTAAATGCCCTTAATGAGGCCGACTCCACTACCCTCTCCGGCAATGCATTCCATGCACCGACCACTCGAGTAAAGAACCTCCCTCTGATGTCTCTGATGGTTTTTATAAAATCAAAAGGATCTGTCCTGTGGACAAATAAGTTCATGATGCTTAAATATTTAATTTCAGGGTCGTCTGTCGGGCAGTTCATCTGAATCTGTGCACACACGAAGAGTGGTCCTTTCACACAACATGGATAAAGCTTTGAAAGAAGGTATGTTTGTTTCTGATAATTAGAGGATGATATTTTTCAAGGAAAAGAGAATTGTCAATTGATGTAACAAAATTTTCTGTACTTAAATTGGACACTGCTGTTATAAAGATGAAACATGCATGAGATGCGTCTCATTATCCAGAGGCACTGAAAAATAATTGGTGCAGAAATAACATTTCTTTTTTGATAGCAAATGATGCAAATACAATATAAAATGTGTATATTTTAAATTTGCATATGGTGATAAAATGGCCAATATTGAACAACTTACTTTAATTTCTTGTTCTTGTGCCACTGTAGTAGCATGTCATAATTTTTTTTAAGAACCATCACAGTTTTGTTTTCAAGGTTTTTGATAGACACTGATCCCTGACTAGCTATATCAGTAATTCTTGAGGAAATGATTCATTTGTATTTTCAACCATTCAATGATGCTTATTGAAAGTTGGGAAAAAAGGCAAAAGCAGCATGTATTATGAAGAAACTACTGTAATAAATGCTTTCAGGTGATCCTGAATAGATACTATGTACCCTACAATTCAAAATGGATCAATCTGACTACTGTTTTTTTGGAGCATGTGAATATAGATATTGTATCTGATCATTTGTGGATACTGAGTGTGAACCTTAATGTTCATAGTGAATGAGGGAATTAGAGTCCAACTAGCCTTGCATCACAACAAAGGGTTCAGATCTTTGGAGGATTTTACCAGGCAGTGTTCTATGTTACTTAAAAATTATGGAAACAATAGAAATAGATATAACAGCAATGCAGTGTCTACTGGCACTTGTCATTGCGGGCAACTACACCTGTTCAGAGAAGAAGCATAGTTTGGAAACATTCTGCAGTGGGATGGGGTCATGGGAGCTGGGGAATGGGAGGAGTTAGGACACGGGACTGGGGTGAAGGGACCTGAGGTGAGCTATGGGACTGAGGGGAGTGAGAACAGGGTGCTGTTTCTCATCATCCCCTTCCTATCCCTTTTCAGGGCCTCACAATCTTCGTAATACTTTTGGCGCATGTGCTGGTGTCAAGAAGCTCAGCCTAATGGTAAGGAAACAAGAACAGAAATTGTTGGGGAAAATCTCAGGGGGTCTGGCAGCATCTGTGGAGAGAAAGCAAAGTTTATGTTTTGGGTCCAGCGACCCTTCTTCGGAAGTGGACACTGGACCTGAAACGTTAACTCTGTTTTCTCTCTACAGATGCTGCTAGACCCGCTGAATTTTTCCAACAGTTTGGTTTTCTGTTTCTGTTTCTGATATACAGCATCCACCGTTCTGTTTTATTTGTCTGACAGTAATGAACATAGATTTTGTAGAATGTAATTTGTTGTGGTGTGGATTTATTTTGAGGAGTTAACTAAATTGGTTGAAAATAGATTTTTTAATTGGTTCTTTTCACCAGAACTATATATTTTTGTACATACAAAAAATATGATAAACTGGACAGGCTCACTGATGAAATATGGATTATGGTACTGGATTACCCAGGCCAGGATGATCCCATGTGTGGTACCATTTACATGCTGTGCTAGTAGAACTGCTTTTTGTCATTTTATATAAATGATTTGGACGTGAACTTCGGAGGTATGGTTACTACATTTGCAGATGGCACCAAAATTGGTGGTGTAATGAACAACGAAGAAGGTTACCTTTGAGAACAATGGGACTTTGATAAGATGGGCTGATGGGCCAAAGAGTGGCAGATGGAGTTTAATTTAGATAAATGTGCGGTACTGCATTTTGGAAAGGCAAATCAGGGCAGACTTATACACTTAATGGTAAGGTCCTGGGGATTGTTGCTGAACAAGGAGACCTTAGAGAGCAGGTAGGTAGTTCCTTGAAAGTGGAGTCGTAGATAGACAGGATAGTGTTTGGTATGCTTGCCTTTATTGGTCAGTGCATTGAGTAGAGGAGTTGTGAGGTCATGTTGCAACTGTACAAGACATTGGTTAGGCCAGTTTTGGAATGTTATGTTCAAGTCTGGTCTCTCTGCTATAGGAAGGATGTTGTGAAACTTGAAAGGGTTCAGAAAAGACTTGCAAGGATGTTGCCAGGGTCAGAGCTGTAGGGCGAGGCTGAATAGGCTGGGACTTTTCTCCCTCGAGTATCGGAGGCTGAGCGATGACCTTTTAGAAGTTTATAAAATCATGAGGGACATGGAAGGGGCGAATAGCCAAGGTCTTTTCCACAGGGTAGGGGTGTTGAAAACTGGAGGGCATAGGTGTAGGGTGAGAGGGGAAAGATTTAAAAGGGACCCGGGGCAGTGTTTTCACGCAGCGTGTGATGCGTGTATGGAATGTGCTGCCAGAGGAGGTGGTGGAGGCTGGTACAGTTAAAACACTTAAAAGCCATCTGGATGGGTACATAGGAAAGGTTTAGAGGGATATGGGCCAAATGCTGGCAAATGGAACTAGATTTATTTAGCATATCTGGTTGGCTAAAGGGTTTGTTTCCATGCTGTACATCTCCATGCCTCTATGAATGTATCATAGTCTGGATGAAATGAGAGTGGTGTGCCATCTACAAGTGCTATAGCTTTCTAGAAAGAGAAGTCCAAATTCTGATTGTGTACGGTACTGCATTGGATTCACAACAGGAAGCCATTATCAAATCAATTTTATTTGCAGGCGCAGTGGGGTTGTTGGGTGAAATTTTGATGCTGCAAGCTGTAAGGCAACAATGGGTCAGTTAGATTCTCTTAACTCTTCTCTGACCACAATCCCTCACTGTTACTGTCACAAGTCTCTCACTTGTCACGCTCCCTGACTGACACAGGTCCCAACCCCTACACTTAAGAGGTGTGGGAACCAACTGGATTCACAATAGTTCATAAAGGGTTTGGGAAGCATTGCATTAGCCTGTAAAACAACCTGTTGTAGACTGAAGTGAAAAGAAGTAACGTCAATAGCTGGAAGCTGGAGGAGCAGGAAAGTCAACATTTGGGGCCGAAACCCTTTGTCAGGACTGGGGAGGGGAAGGGGGGCTCAGAAGTAAATGGAGGGAGTGAGTCTTGGGGGGTGTTGGGGGCGGTGGGGAGATGGATAGGTGGGATGGTGATTGGTGGATGCAGGTAGGGCGTTATTGTGATTGGTCGTTGAGAAGGGTGGAGCGGTTAGGTGAGTAGGAAGACGGGCAGGTTAGATGAGGTCAGGGAGGCGAGAGGGAGAGGGAGGGCTGAACACGGGATAAGGCTGGGGTGGAGGGAATTTGAAGCTGATGAAGTCAATATTGAGGCCATTGGGCTATAAGCTGTCAAGGTGAAATATCTGATGTTGGTCCTCTAGTTTATGTTTGGCCTCACTCTGACAGTGGAGGAGGCCAAGGACTAACGTCACCAGGGGAGTGGGAAGGGGAATTAAAATGGATGGCAATGGGAAGGTCGAGTTGTTTGGTGCATGCATTGCACAGATGGAGAGATCCAGAAAGGGGAGGGAGATGTCAGAAATGGTCTAGGTGAATTTGAGGACTGGGTGGAACATGTTAATGAAGTTGATTCGCTGCTCAAGCTCCTCACGGGAGCACGAGGCAGCACCGATGCAGTCATTAATATAGTGGAGAAAGAGATGAGGGATGGTGCTGGTGTAGTTATGGAAGAGGGACTGTTCCATGAATCTTACAAAGAGACAGGCATAGCTCAAGCCCATGCGAGTGCCCATCGCCACCCCTTTTGGTTTTCGGAAGTGGGAGGAAACAAAGGCAAAATTGTTGAAGGTGAGGACCAGTTCAGCCAAGCGGGTGAGTGTCAGTGGAGGGGGGCTGGTTGGGCCTACGGGAGAAGGAGAAATAGAGGGCTTTTAGGCCCTCCGTATGGGGGATACAGGTGTAAAGGGGCTGTATGTCTGTGGTGAAGATGAGTTGTTGGGTGTTGGGTGTTGGGGAGTTGAAAGTTTTGGAAAAGGTGGAGGGCGTGGGTTGTGTCACGAATGTAGGTAGGGAGTTCCTGGACCAAAGGCGAAAGAATGGAGTTGAAATGGGAGGAGGTGAGTTCGGTGGGGCAGGAGGTGGCAGAGACAGTGGGTTGAGCCAGGACAGTCAGGTTTATGGATTTTTGGAAGGAAGTAGAAACGTGAGGTGTGGATTTGGGGTATTATCAGGTTGGAGGCTGTGGATGGGAGATCTCCCGAGGTGATGAGGTTGTTGATGGTCTGGGAGATGATGGCTTGGTGATCAGAGGTGGGGTCGTGATCGGGCGGATAGTAGGAGGAGGTGTCAGAGAGTTGGCCTCCGTGACGTAGAAGTCTGTTTGTTACGCTACTAGCGTGTTTAATACTGAGGTTGGCATTGGAGCGAAGGGAGCGGAAGGCTGTGCGTTCTGATGGGGAGAGGTTGGAGTAATTGAGAGGGGTGGAGAGATACAAGCGATTGATGTTGTGGTGGCCTGACCTCACCCACACTGAGGCTGAATGGTCAGTCCGCAGCAAAGGGCTCACCTTCATTCCCCTGCTCCCACACGTAAACAAATTCTGCGCATGTCGTGGTGTTGAGCTCTTTTTCTGCCGCCACTGTGCCTACTTCTTTGAACAGGAATCCAACCCATCTTCTAACAACTCCTCATCCTGCTTTCAGCAAACTCCATCCTCCTAAACACACCACCTAGTGTCCTTACCTCCCTTGACCTCTTCATCTCAAACTGCTATCGCAACATCAATGACTTGGATGTCTCCACCCTTCTCACTTACTCAAACCTCTGCCCATTGGAATGCGCAGCCATCCCTTCGCTCCAACCCCAGCCTCACTATTAAACCCGTTGATATGTGGAGAATGGTGGTAGTGTGGCAAATTGACCTCTACATCTGCTCTCAGGATGAGGCATTTTACTGCAGGACATCCCAGATATCCTCCTACTTGATGAACCGAATTTCCCCTCCTATATAATTAAGGATGCCCTCAACTGCATCTCCTCCATTTCCAACACATCTGCCCTTAAAACTCCTCCCCCCCAACAACAAGGATAGAGTTCTCTTAGTCCCCACGTACCCCCTCACCAACCTCTGAAT